TGTCCAGCCATCAAATGAGATGAAGCTGCCCGATGATAAAAATCCATCAGTAAGTGTAAAGCAATATGTGTAGGGGTTTTTAAAAACTGCTTTGAATTTCTTTTATTCTTACAATCTAAGTGGCCGATTAATTTCTTGATACGTTATATTTCTACCCTACTTTGTTTTTATAGTTACATTGTTCACATATATATGCCATCCTCATCTTCCTTCTGATGAACTGCCTGTAAACTATTAAAACCAACCCTCATGAGCAGATTCCTTCTTGATCAGTTAATGGTCAGGAAGTTAGTTAATAAGCTCTCTGTCCTTTAAATAGAACTTTGAAGTTCATTACCAAATGCACAAGAGCTCACAAGTGGACTCTGCACCACTTTTTATCTGTTTTCTTTTCATTGGTGTTATAATAATTTTATTTAACCGTAATTTGAGAATATGAAATTTGACAGTTTTATCTTTCCCTTTGTGATGAAAAAAGAATTAACTCTTGGTTACTGCCACTACATTATTGTAATTTATTGGTCCAATGTGGGATGCAAAGCATTTTTTGTAAAATGAGCTAAAATTTGTAAAGGAAGGACTTTTTTGCTGTTACAGATAGTGTAGGATCCTGATAAGGAAAGGTGGGCACATGTAGATGGAGATGATAATGTGCCCCCACCACCACCTACTGCCTTAGCCATAATGGCAGAGAGATATCCACCATCACAGCCACTTGCTGCCTCAGAACTATCGAGGGAATTCTTCATAATTTATAACAAAATGTCCATTATTTTGTCAAACCATTTAACAGACTTGTTTTTAATTTAACTTAACCAAGTTATAACTAGTTTTAAGTTCCTGCAGGGCAAGAAATAACTCTGAGTTGTTTTGCTTGTGATGATACAGTTTTGTGAATCTATAATGATTTTTTATTTCTCATGTTGGTTGTGCATATAGTTGTTCCTCAGAGTTTGTTATAGTAATACTTTTATTTCAAATAGACTTCATTATTTTCTGACTGAAGTTTGGGATAATGAAAGCTCACAGTTACTTGGTTATTTTACTTCTTGGTTCAGTTGTCAACAGTTTTTTTTTCATGCTTGTATATTTTGATGTATCTGTTCTGTTAATAGTCTGAAAATATAGTGCATTTCCTGTCCACATGGTTTTTTTAAGTAGGTTGGGTCATGTGATTACTGGAATGTGGGAGTGTGGTATGTTGTGAGAATTCTGCTCTTTTCTGTATATTATTAAATATATTTCCACACAAAATATATAAACTTATGGCGTGTGCACGGAGGATCAGTTCTAGGCCTGTGAGGAAGCGCAAGTGATGACTGTCGAAGGATGAGAATATCCGGTCTTGCACTCCTTTAACGACGTGGGTGTCGGTCATTCGGCGCAATATCGCAGTTCGAACAGCGTGCGAACATCAAGTTCATGGTGATACTGCACTACAAAAAATCCGCAGTTTAGGACTGGTTTTCCCGGTTTAAGAATGGACAGGAGACGTTGGTGGATGACCAGCGCAGCGGGAGGCTTTCGACATCCAGAACCGCGGAAACGATTGAACAAGTGCGACAACTGATTCTATCTGATCGCAGGATGACCATCGCGGAGTTGGTATCTCTCACGGATCCATTCATGCTATTCTGTCCGACGATTTGAAGATGAGACGTGTCAGTGCGAAGTTCGTTCCGAGGCAGCTGACTACGGATCAGATGGAATGTCGTAATATGGTCGCTGGAGATCTGTTTGAGAAAAGTACGCAGGACCCGACGTTTCTCACAAAGATCGTCACTGGTGATGAGTCATGGGTGTTCGCCTATGACCCGGAGACGAAGATGCAGTCATCCGAGTGGCACACAGCGTCGTCTCCCCGACCAAAGTAATCACGCCTCGTCCGATCCAAGGAAAAAGTGATGCTCATGGCATTCTTTGACATTGACGGTTGTAACCGATCTCCCTTTTAATTTGTTCTGGTTATTGGTTGGGCGTCAGTGGACCTCTTGTGTCCACGAGAGATGGTTGCCCAGGGTAGCTCCAGCCAGTATAACACGCCGTCTGTACAGTCAGGTTAGTGTAACGGCCGGACTCACAATGACACAGTGGACGCTCGGACTTATGACACAATTGTAGGTTTTAACAAGCCCAGCTTTATTGTTATAAATTGAAATTGAACTGTACACAAATGTTCACACTGTCTACATTACTTGTTAAATCACACAGGTACACTTCTTCACTTCACCTTTGCCGATGTATGCAGTTCCAATATATTTTATCAAATTTGTTATACTTTTTGATAGTTATCGAATTTGGTACAATTTCCAATATAAAGCTCGAATTGTCGCCCCTATTAAGTTATACCCTGGCATTCGCCTTACAACTGAGGAAAAGCACGGAAAACCTCAGTCAGGGTAGCCGAGTAGTCTAACCACTCATTGCGCCGACTTGGCCGTCTCTTGGAGACAGCCTCGGCTGGCCTGCTGAGCATCAGTCGCCCTCGGGTGCCCTTGGGCGACCTCTGACAGCCCTCATTCGGCACGAGTGCCTCCCGAGTTGCCCGACTAACACCAGCTAACCTCGAGTCAAATCTCTCAGTCAGTGCTCTGGTGTGGTCGGCAAAGAAAGGGACCCCCAGATCCTCAAGTATTTGCCTGTTACTAACGTACCAGGGCGCGTTAGTAACAATGCGAAGACATACATTACATTTTGGCCGACAGCAAGTCTAATAAGGAAGGCTATAAAACAGTCACACCAACTTAAATGCAAATTAACTTAAAACAATGAAATTTCAAAATTAAAATATGATAATGTCTATCAAAACCACATAAATGTGTAGAATACTCAGCATGATGAAGTGTTAAGCACAACAGAAGAGGAGGGCATGGCAGAAATATTTTTGTACTGATGCAGCACATTTAAAAAGTTGCCGTGAAGAAGCTCATAATCTTAGCTACTGAATAAGACGATGGGGCAGCTTCATGCGCCAACCACGATATCTCCCTTGAATTGTGCCACAAGGTACCAGCCTGGGGAGAATTATGTTGGGCTTGAAGGATAACTGGGATTCAATTAATGATAAGAGCAAGAATGTTTATCAACATCATCCAGGCTGGCTCTGAGTCCACCCATTCTCCTAGACAGTCCTGGAGTTACTTTTCAAAGGATAAGTCACCCAGAGCATGAAGCTGATAACTCACCTCCATCTAATGCTAAGAAAGGGTGGATGGAGTGTTACATCCCTTCTCCCAGACACGTACAAACCATAGTTCTTATGCAAAGAGAAATTTTTTACCTAATGGATTGGGTCACCAATGCATATTTGGGTAAAAAGAAAAATGTCATTCTCCCATCATGTATTTATATTTTTGACAACACAGATTAGAATATTTTCTTGTACAGAGTTTTGAGCTTACAAATTTGTTTCCAGAGCTCACATTGTATTGAAGAAAATGTGACAGCAGAAAATGTTATGTTAAGGTTATAGAGGGACACAAGTGTCTCAGAGTTTTAATTCAGTGTATTAGAATGCTGATTGTGTCTTCCTATTATAAACATCTTTTAGCAAAGATCATCAATATGAAAATAACAAATAGTTCACTGTTCATCACCTAGAATGGTTGCTGCAAGTTCCACACATGTCCCTCTGTACATTAGACCAAGAAAAGCCTTGTCAGAATTTTGCTTTTTAATTGTCTGCGCAATTGGAGAAGAACATTGATTTCAATGTTAAAGCATATTTCCTCCACTTCTTGGCTTGAAATAGTGATTTCTCAAATGCAACTTGTAGTCTCTAGCACTTGACTGGCCGAGTGGATATATCCTAACAGGTAGAAGCTTATAGGTGTAAAATCAGGCCACAGAAGCCACAAAATCAATTTGGTTCATCTCATCCATCAATGTGTGTGATGAGAGTCCAAAAGCTGCTTTATGTTGCAGGTAAAATGAACAGGAGCTTCACCATGTGTAAACCACACAGTTTGTTACATTGTCAATGGCACATCCAACAGTATTTGAGGTAATTCTGTTGGAAATGTAAATAAGGTGTGCTAAGAGTTGAAACACTAACACATAAGGTGATATGGGATCATCAGTTATTCCTGTCCCAACATTACTTTAAAACTGGTGCTTCATTGCTGCGCCCTCTAAAAAGGCACTTGTGACCACTTGGTCATAGGAGTTTCATCTTGGATTGAATTCAGGAGTAGAACACAATCCTTAAATGAAATGCACGCAATTAAGAATCACCCGCCCATATATTATGTATTGCAGAAGCTGTCAGGAAATTAATCTGCATTTATTCTTCATATTATTGTGACACGATACGTAATTAATTTCATAGCCTGGTGTGTGAAGGCATCTGGACTATGAAAAACTTGGCATCAGTATGAAGAAGCAATTAAGGCTCTCAAGGAGAGAATAATTGCAAAGGCATGTTCAAGTTGGAGAAGCAGCAACACAGAGTTAGAACTCTTAGCTGTAAAAGACAGTAGACTGTACTGGAATTAGTGTAATTTCATCAAAACTTAATTTTGATAAATGTAAAGACACAATGCAGCATTACGATGCCTTTTGCAATGTCCATTCATTATTACCACCAGCATATTGGTCATAGATTTCACTGCATTTTAGTATCTAACAAACAGGAAGTCTTCAGATCTTTCTAGAGGGAACAAAGTGTAACACATCATCATCATATTAAGTTCTTCCATCCAGATCTTCTAAGAAACATAAAATTGTAACACTTCAGTGAATTTAAAATGAATACAGAGAGACATTTACTAAATACCAATATTAATATCCAAAATACCTGATCACTTAAAGCTTCTGAGAGGCAACCCACAAAGTCATCTGCTGACAGAATGGTAATTCTGACCAGCAAGTGAGTAGTCAGGAACAAAAATTACTAAACACATTGCCCTCTTAATCAAGTATATGGTGTGTATTGTGTCAGCAAGCACTGTTTGCTTCTACGAGCATTATTATAACAAGTGTTCACTTTGCATTTATCTTATGTATTAACTCACATGTTTTTGAGTATCAGCTGCAGTTTCTTTGCAGTTATTCAACCGACCATTTGTCTGCCTCTCAGCATTATCACTTTGCTACTTATGATTGGCATGACTCTTGATCTTTTAACCTTCCTCAACACCAAGATATATATCAGGAACAATTCCTTCTAAAGAATGATCCCCTGAACATTTTCGTTTTATTTCTATTTTTCCACCCTTTCTCATTCTAATCCTGAGAAGGTCAAAACATGGTGCCATACAAAACAAAGCATGTTACCTCAACTAAAGTAATTTGCTGACAGTTGAGGTGGATGCAAAACTGTAAAGGAACTGTTTCTGAATGTTGGGCATCTTACTCTGAAGGATACAGAAGTGAAGAATGGAGTTCTAACTGCGTTCATTTTCCTACATGTATTTAGTAATGCCACAGAAGTCAAGTGATGACACACCTGCAGATATGAAAACATATTCCTTAAGATTATATTTTGGAAGACCTTAAAAATGATAAAAATGGTCAAATATGTAGCAGCTTATCATATAATCTGCTTATATTCATGTGTTTGTTTCAATGATAAATATCATTTAATGCATAGATTCTAATTAACTATTAATATTATAAGTTGAATTACAAAGGCATAACATCTGAAAAATGGGGCCGAAATATCACTCATCACATGCCGAACTTCAATACTGCTGAGGATTTCCTCTTCATTACGATTCATTAGGCAACAGGACTGGAGCTATGTAAGAGCATGCCTGCAATACAAATAACAAAAGCCACAAATTAGCAAGTAAATTCAAATATAGTGGAACTTAATTAATATGGTGTTTCAGAGATAAATAATGATGTCTTATTAAGACATGATTATAAAAGCGTACCTTTGTTTTAAAATGCAGACTAGTCCCATGAAAATTAAACAAATGTCTTCATTATGTGTAAAGTCCAACAGTGAACCTGAATTAGCTTACTGCAATTTACATTACCAATACCAATTTAGTAAGTCATCTTTTACCACTGCATGGCACTTCCTCTGGTTGCATGAGGAGAAGGCATCGAGAAATGGATGGAAGCTGGAAATCAGGTGGGATGCTAACAACTCCTCACCATAAAAGGACTAACATATTTATACAGGCCCAATTTTTTAACTAGCTGAGCGTGCTGTCAGCCTCTCAAAGAGACTGCTCCATGCATTACAAAGTTTGTTGCACATCTTCATCTCGATTTTCCAATAGGTTTCCTTGACAAAATTTTCTGTGTATTCGGAATGTGGCAAAAGGAATCAAGCATCTCAAATGTGAGTATCCTAAGGGAACACTGACCATGAAGTCCTCTATGAATTCATGCTGCCTCTTGTCCAAAACACATCTCTATGCAATCTCTATACCCACCCCCTTCTAAACCATTCCCAAATTTGGAATTACTGATCTGCAGCATAAACCATTCTAAGGGTTTTATAAGGGGTAACAAAATGGCCTACATTTTAATTATGACAGCTTACTCTAAGGTAGAAAATTAATTATCCTGTCAACTCATTAACTCACGCACCAGCAGAACAATATTGCTTAGTATAAACTTTATTCTGTTATCCTGTGGAAAACTTGTAATCATATCTTTCACAGTCAGTTTCAGCCAGGGTCCATGAAAAGAATCCTGTTGTTTATGAACGTAGATCATCTGCACACATTATCTCAGTACAAGGAACATCAGGCAAGAAGTAAGGTGGCAGATCTGGGGCAAGTTGATGATGTGGAGTTGCTTCACGTGGGTAATAATTTAAACCTCCCCTTTTTTTACATGGTGAGAGAAGATATTTTCATTTGCTGGTGCATGAACTTTTGTTTTCGAACCAGTCTATAGGGCTACAAATTCTCTCAGTTGTGAGTTTGTAAGACAGAGTAAACTTAATTTTATTATATTTCTAGTCTGCGAAATTGTCTTTCAGAACACATACATCATACACACTCTGTGCTACATCACTGTAGCGCAGAGTAAGAATTAAAAGTGCACTTTATGTTTCATGATACATTTAGTTCAGCCACGCATTATTTAATAGATTTACTGTTACAAAGTACCAGAAAACATGAATATATACTTTCCCACTATGAATATAGGAACTTCATGATCTGGCAGTAACACACAATATTGTTGTTCACAGGGACCTAGGTTTGTGTCCTGTTTGCAGATAGTTTACTCTGCATTGAATTTTCAGAATGTATTGAGCACTCTCATTAAGAGAAAAGGTGATATTCATACTTAGCTTATGACTTTTGCATTTTGTGCAATGCAAACTATCCCCAAAATTTACATGAATTTTCGTCAATTCCAGAAAAATGAAAACAAGGGTTACACTGTACAACTAATTCCAAACCTGAATGTACACAACACGGTAGTACTCCATTATTATGTCTCTTGAACTGCTACCTCTCCCTGGCCCTGTCAGTCTGTCCACATTTGAACCAGATGCAGGATACACACTCTGTGCCATTATGGAGAGTTCTGAGGCTCTACGTAGTGGGGGCAAGCTATCTCCTCCATCTCCATCTACATGTGTCCACCTTTTCTTATCTGGATCCCACACTATCTGTAACAGCAAAAAAGTCCTTCATTATCAAATTTTAGCTCATTTTAAAAAAAGGCTTTGCATCCCACATTGGACCAATAAATTACAATAATGTAGTGGCAGTAACCAAGAGTTAATTCTTTTTTCATCACAAAGGGGAAGATAAAACTGTCAAATTTCATATTCTCAAATTACGGTTGAATAAAATTATTATAACACCAATGAAAAGAAAACAGATAAAAAGTGGTGCAGAGTCCAGTTATGAGCTCTTATGCATTTGGTAATGAACTTCAAAGTTCTATTTAAAGGACAGAGAGCTTATTAACTAACTTCCTGACCATTGACTGATCAAGAAGGAATCTGCTCATGAGGGTTGGTTTTAATAGTTTACAGGCAGTTCATCAGAAGGAAGATGAGGATGGCATATATATGTGAACAATGTAACTATAAAAACAAAGTAGGGTAGAAATATAACGTATCAAGAAATTAATCGGCCACTTAGATTGTAAGAATAAAAGAAATTCAAAGCAGTTTTTAAAAACCCCTACACATATTGCTTTACACTTACTGATGGATTTTTATCATCGGGCAGCTTCATCTCATTTGATGGCTGGACACAAAATCTGTTCCAGATTCCTCTTAGCCAGCTGCGAATACCTCCTGCAGGTGTTGGCTCTTCTGTTGGTGGTTCCATCTGTATTGTCACGCACTGCATATCCTACCAAACACACCCACAAACCACAGAGACAGTTATTCTCAAACCAATCAAGATACAGGTCTGCAGAATCTACACATGTAGAACATTCTAAATCAAACAGAATGAGTCCCGTTTCATTGCTGCTTATAACAAGATCGCTTTTTTGGGGGAGGGGGTTGTTTCATAATGAAAACAAGAGTCATAAATCACCATATACATTCCTGTAACAGAATATCCTTTCTCAACATAAAATCTGAAACCAATGACTGTAATTAAACATATCATACCGAAATCACAGCTAAATAAGTTCTGCAGTTCTAGAACACAAAAATACAGTTTGTTTTCATATCAAAACTGCTCCAATTCATAAAACATAATTCTATTTAAAATTAAACATTTCAAAAAAAATTGACAGTGGAATCACG